TGACTACAATGCCGCGCCATTCAGCCAAGTTACCAGGGAATTCGAAAATATATCAGTTAGACTAGTTTTAGTTTATGCAGCCGTCAGGACCTCTAGGGTTATGTTCCTGACTTGTGAATGAAACATTTTAATAACTGAGACATTGTTATTTTGCTTTGAACTTGGGATTTAAGTCAGTATACAAAGAGCAGAATCAGTTTATACAAAGTTTGTTTCGCCTTAAAACTTCCTTTTTGTTTAAATGTTTTCTACTTGCAATGTTTTCTTTCGACAAATCTAATTCGATATCGATGAATGCGAAGGTGGCAATAACTTCTGTGACGAAAATGCGTACTGCTCCAATGCTTTGGGTCTTACAGTTGCACCTGCAAAGATGGATTTACTAGAGATGGACACATGTTCAGATAAAAAGAAAGCTTACCGTCATCTCGAGGTGCAATACTCAATTCTTTTCGCTCAAAGACAATAGAAATTTAAAAAGAAGACAAAAAAAAAAAACTGGTTTGCTTAACTTAATTCCTAGTCATCCACGATATTTTTTTGTCCAAAGAGTTCCTGTGAACAAATGGTTAGGTAAGTAAATTTCTGAGTAAAACTTAAATTCTTAAAAAAAAAAAAAAAAAACCACAACAACAGCAAATAGATTCATATAATTAAGGAAATGGCTTGCTTCAAGTTTTTTGAAAATCCAGTTTAGAAGATCAAGTCATTTTTTTTTTTCTTAATCTAACATTATTTCTTTTTTCAGGATTTTTGAAAACATGTGAAGTGTGACTCATTTGGGAAACCAAACTATTATTGCAACTGAAAGCATTCCCAACAATATTTTGGTCTTACTATGTCGTTATAGATAATTTATATGCCCCTTAATGACTTTGACATGATGAGCTGGAACCAAAACGTTGTTGACAATTTGATACACCCATGTACTAATATCAGTGTATAATTATGTGAGGTACTTCCTTTCAAAAATTATCATCTGTCCTCCTAGAAACTTAGACTGAAGTTTTGAGTGTTGAATACGGAAGTTCAGAATCTTCCCTTGGGAAAAGTTTCAATCATTTTGACATAAATTTCAAGTTTGTCTGCGTGATATTGTAAGCGTATCACTTCTTAAAAGCCTTTACGCAGCAAGAGCACTTCGTATAAAAAATGTTAACAAGTTTTAAACAACTTCATTAGAGAACGGGAGGTGAACACGCGTACGTCGTATTATGATGCTTTCAAGAGTATTTGAATAGCAACTTCTGATCGGCGATGCTTATCGAAAAAAATTAAAACCAAAATGCAAATTGGTCGACGTACATTTGTCACACATAATAATCCGATCATGTTCACGCGATTACGCTACGTGGATGAAACAACCCTTCACCCTGACAACACTCTGAAACTCAATAAGACAAGATTTAAAACGGTTTATAATTTTCGATTGAAGTTGTCCATCAAACCTTCGCTTTGCTTCCCAGGAATTTGTACGGAGGTTTTTGCGTGAAATTCGTCATCAATAATATATCATTTGCCAGAAGCTAAGGAATCTGTACCTCAAGGAATTGAGATGATTTCCTTAACAATAGTCTACAAACCTCGAATGGATCGTACTCGGTCACAGGAATCACATTACACACAGAATTTTCCACTTTTGCGTCTTCCATGAATGATTATCACTCTTGTACAAGCTTCGCGCATCTATTACGCCCAATACAAGCTAATTTTGATTCGTTAAACACCATATTGTACTTCAACTTGCAAAACGTGCGTTCAACATGCAAAATGTCAAAACCATGGCAGAAAGCCACTTAAATTCAGATGATACTTCCAGCTTTCTAAAGTAAAAGAACAGTCCGTGCAGGCCATTTTCTTCCAAAATCTTCTGTTACTTTGACTTAAAGCATCAAAGCGAACTAAACTGGAGTAAAATACCCCAGAGGTAGATTTGTTTTTGTCCAGCTTTCTTTCACATTTCGAACCATTCAAATTAGCCTCCGCGCCTGCGTTAGCCGCCATGAATATTTTCGTACCCAGTCTCGCAGTGAGTAGACCCTTTGGAGAGTTCACGTCCAAGCTCTAACCATATTAGGCAAAGGGCCATTATTCATTTTCATTCCTCAGGACTAATTCATTCTGAGCGTAAGTATGCTTCGTCATCATCATGTGACAGTCACAAGTTCATCCCGTTTCACCCACTTCCCGCCAAGAACGTCACAGTTTGCGTAACAAGCTGATTTCTAACTTTTTATTGGTTCGAGAAGAGAATGTTTCTTCAACAGTTGCCTGGATACTGAAATTTTGTCCAATCAGATGAGGATTGATGGTTTATCTTAGCTGTCAATCATACACCAAAACATTACATCACTTTGTTTTGATCCACACTTAGTGGAATTTCACCACGTAAGGGAAGGCGCTTGCTGCAAAGGAAAGGAGATTCGTCTTTCAAAGTATTCCTGATTGTTGATAAGCCGTGCATGGCTGTCGTCTCATCCTGTCACAACAAAGGCAATACATACGAAAAGACCACAGCCGATAAGATCGGGTCGGCCGTACAGGAGGGGATGAAGTATTCGTGGTCTGGTACTCGTCGGACCAAACACGATAGTATATCTTCGGTTGACAGCAATTCTTCTAGCGATTCACCTTTCCCAGACTCTCCAAGCGAGAAACCTTCAAAGATGAACCCAAATAAAAAGCCATGTGGTAAAAAGAGAGGCAGAAGACCCTCTAAAATCGACTTGGAAGCAAAACTGGAGCGAAGTAGACAATCTGCTCGAGAGTGTCGCGCTCGAAAGAAGCTGCGGTACAAGTACTTGGAAGATATGATCGCTGACAAAGAAACTTATGTGTATAAACTCCGAGAAGAGCTAGAAATGGTAAGGTATTGTACCATCGACTGAATAGAGCACTGTGTGCGTTAATCTTATTTGTGAAGAAGCTTAAAGGTTGTAACCTAATAGTGTTTGTGATCGTTCGAGAAAATTTGTTCTTGATAACAACAAAACGTCGTTTAGTTGTATTTTAACGTTCCTCGTCCTTGTTTTTTATCTTACACTACTTTTGATATGGATGATTATTCCCAGATCAAACAAGAGGAATAACTGTCGCAAACACAAAAGAATAATTAATGCGTGTCAAACACATCAACTGTAAGCAAGTTCAGAGCTCATAAACGAAGATGCGAGAGCTTTCGGTATTTTACACGAGTCAGACCGTTGCTTTTTCCAAAATTATTTATCGCAATGTCACTTTTTTTCTTCTACAGTACCGAAGGTGGTGCAAGGCTGTTGATAAGGGAGCATATCCTGCCGAGCTATTGGAATTCTTGAAAAACAACACCAAAGGCAGCAATTGAAGTTGGCAGACCGTGATGGGATCCTAGTCTGACCGATTAATCAACGGATACAGGCCAACATTGAAGGAAATTCTTCCTCTCCTCAGAATTCCAACGGATGTGGTTACAGTTATGTACCAGGAGATGCTTTTGATCTTCTGAGCTGCCTTCGTGAACTGAGGAATAGTACTCCTAATAATTTCAAGGCTTCATATGTTCATTTTAGACCAACTTACAATTTAAGTCTATGCAAAGAGCAGTGACATGATGTTTAGCAAGTGATGTCATTAAGCTTTAGATTGGCATATTTCTTTGAACTCTTTATTTGTGTAATTATGATGTATATGCCTCCGGGTAATTAACCCCACTCAACCACAGAAAGATGAAATATTTTAAGGGTGGAGGGAGGGGCTCTTGGTTTGGGGTTGAAGAAAAGTGGAATTTCTGGGGGGGGTGAGCAATGCAGAACTCTATGCCTTCTCTGGTGGGGTTATTTCTGGGACAATACAGAAATAATTGATGTGGCCAACAAAGTTGGTTTTACCTGATATTTTTGAGGCCTTGAGGTTTACTTTCTTTTACACTAAGTAGGCTTGATTCCAACCATGTTGACAAAAAACAATTGTTTGTCTTTAAGGATGCTTTGATGAATTTTCAACTGATGTCAGAGCATTAAAGGTAAATGTTTAAATAGTATTAAAATGCGTGGTGTGTACAGCGATGAAATGAATACAAAACAGATCCTAGACACCACTAGTTTCAGTCACTTCTGGGTGACATAAGCATTTCTAGTTTTGATGGAACAGATAATGTACAATTGATTTCCAACTTGGGAAGATATGTGGCTTAGAAACATGTAATTTTTCCTTACTGTATTATCCCTGCATCATACATGAAGTTAATGAGAATAAAGGAAATAATCAGCAACTAGAAGAGAAACTTTTTGATTGTTGAAAAAATTCTCCTTGTTGGCACCTTGGGATATGTATGGTGAGCAGTACAGAGAATATGCATGCTAGTATTAGGGTGTGAAGAGTTAAACACCTTTTCTTTTATTGTGTTCAACAAAAAGGATGTCAAATGGGTGTTTTTTTTTTATTTATTCCGTGTTTTCCATAACAAAAAAAATCTAGTTTAAAAATTTAAATATAGCGATGTAACCATGTGGAAAGTTTTGAAAATAATTTTAAGTAATCATAAATTGATTCTAGTGTTAAAGACTTCATAGCAGTCTTAGTTTTACTGTGTATAATTTTAGAACTATTGAATATCAGATGTGTCTTGTCAGTGTTAAAATGAGATATTAAAAGAGTTTTTAAGACATCCGACTTGATGGTATTCCTTATGTCAATAAATTTTACACAAATTTGTCAATGTTTAAGTACATTCCAACCCTTGAAAACAGGGAAAGATGTCCTACCTTCAACATTTTCAAATTGTCTTGATGTAAGTGATAGATGAAGGATGCTGTTATACCCAATTGGAAAATTTCCAAACTTCAAGAACAGTCTAGAGGTTTCATAAATATTTTCTCTCTTAAACTGATGCTTGATGAAAAATCTATGTTAATTGTATATCACAAATTCAAATGAGAGATGTAGTGCCCTTGGGTAAATAGTGGTACCAGAAAACTGCCAGGCAAGCTTGATGAAATCCAGGGGGGTAACCTCATCATGGGCAAGGCATGGTGGCCCCAAGGTCAGTGCACCAGGTTTGAGCCCTGGCTGGGGATATTGCATCCTCGGAGACCCAGGGGCAGTGAGTCGATTTCAAGTTAAGGGCAGAAGAGCCCCTGGGGACATTGTCCTACAAGACTAGTTCCAAACGGTCGCAGTCGTTCTGGCATCTGATTGGTGCCAGAAAATCTTTGTTTTTTTCTGCCCAATCAGAGTGAAGTGTCGTTTGGAGTCCTTTCGTGTGTTTTAACATGCACATATTGAACAAGCCTGTTGCTCGCTATGTTTGTCTCGGCCGTGCGACGAAGCTTTGCCCGAGGGGAAAAGTTTCAGTCTCAGCACACAATGTAAGAGAAATCGATCAGATTGTCCGCGAAATCTTACCGGAAATTATACTAAATACTTTCGCAGGTATCACAAGAGAACGAGTTTAAAAGTTTGGGAGGTTCGTATAAAACACAATGGTTGAAAGCATTGATATGTCGCTTTAAACGTTAGATGAGATGTAAGCCTAAATCTTTCAAGATTTTTTTGTATAATTTGCTGTCACTGAAACTTTTCCAATCCCGTGAAGCTATTTCGTCGCACGGGCCACGCAGGTATGTCGAACAACTGGCGCTTACGCATTTTTTTGTGCACGCCCGGCCAAAATCTAATCTAATCTTCGCTTGAAAAATTAAAAAGAAAAGCTGAACGTGGAAACTTTTGTTTATTAGATGTGGGTAGATAACCCTGTACTAAGCTGACATTTGCAATAAGGCAAGCTCGCCCTTTCCATCCAATATTTCTTTGTCTTTGGTTTTGTTTTCCCCAATGAAAGCAGCATCGATTCCCAATGATCAAAGGTAATTAACTTGGTCTTCAACTATCGACAAAAGAGGTGAAGTGACAATGACCAAGGGACTAGAAGAGGATCCGTGGCCTTTCGAGCTCAAGAATTTGAACACTCAACGCAGCAGTTGAAAGATTAACTTTCTTCAAACCCCTTCGGTAACTGTCCGAAAACATATCTCCTTTCCACGATGTTCTCGATGATTAGTTTTTGTTCAGATTTTAATTAGCTAACCGGAAACACAGCTAAGCTTTCTTTAAGCGCTTGCTGGAGGTCGTCCACGTACTTAACGTTCTCTGCAAGTTTGGCCATATTGTAAAGA